TGCCAGCCTTTCCAGAGATGGCGAGGACAAGAGAGAGCAAATGCCAACAAGCATTGCAAGCTATGCCAAGGGACATTTGGGTTGGACATTAGGAGGAGTGTTTGCCCAGAAAGGGGCCCTTGGGGGTGGTGGTGGGGCAGTTTCTTGGCCCAGCTTAGTCCTGGAGCTGCTGCTGCTGCTGGCAATTGTCCTCAGATGGTGCCTTGGCAGAAGGCTCTGGAGATGCTGGGGAGAGGTGAGGGAGTGGGATGGGTCAGGGGCCAGGATGAAACAAGTTCTTGAACCAAGCTGGTGTCAGGCAAAGCACAAGAGCCCCCATGGAGGAGGAAATCCTGGCAGATCCTGGGAGTCCTGGGCCTCTTGGGCAGCACTTTGCCCAAGGCCCCAAAGCAGAGGGGCTGTTTCAGGCCCAGGGAGAGAATTTGGATGAGGGGCTGAGCCCTGATGAAGTTTTTCTTAGCATTAGCATTCTAAGAAGTTGAGAGTTTTTCAGGTAAAGGTTCTACCCATGTATTCCTCTCACTGCCTCATTATAGATTTTTCAAGTAGTCCAGTTTAGTAAAGTCCAGCTTTTCTACACATTGCTGTTTTATTTTCTTGATATTCCATCCTTTATTAAAATCAAGTTCCTTCATTGGAAGAAGGAGTATGCTGCTGTTTTCTAGGAAATGTTAACTTCGATGGCTTACTCATTCCTACAAGCCCAATAGGACAAAAGACTACAAATCAGCTTTATAATTTCAAAAACTACTCCTTCAACTCTTACACATTAATTTTATTATTGGCAATGTTCTGAAGCAATACCAAACCCACACATAAAACAAGGAGAAGATAATCAGCAGTTGACATCACCTTCTAAACTACATTTTAAATTTAGTTTAAGGTCTCTAGATGCAAGTTTGAGTGTGTAAATGGAGACATTCACACAGTGGCACTACCAGTTGGTAGTTTTGGCCTTTCCAATGAGTTTCCTTTTTAGTTTTTCTTTCACCAAATTAAGGAAAAAAACAAACAAAAGCAATTTTTTAGGCGGAGAAAAGACATGGTCGGTTTTCAAGCATTTTATTCTGCCCTTATTATAACCTAATGGGAAAAATGTGAGCTTTTAGTAAAACCTCACTGTGATATTGCAGTTGTTCTAGTACTGTGATGAATAACAGGCAGGTCTGCAAGACTCCTGTAGCTCATCCCATGAGAGGGTCATTGACCACTTATCACTGTAGGGATCACTGGGAATAAGGACAGTGGAAAATGTGGAGGTAGCTGGATAAATAAGTACTTACAATTTACTTAGCCAAAAAAAACACCAAAAACAACCCAAAGCTATAAAAATAGTTATCCTCTGAATTAGGAGAATTTAAATTAACTGTTTTATGACTGTTTTTTGTTCATATTCTTAGGTTAAATATTGTCATTTCTATCTGAAATATTAATCATTATGTTTTTCAGAAATGAATGACAAAGTGATATACACCTATCTTCCCAAAATCTGATTTTAAGTGTTTGCAAGTTTAATCACTTAGGAAGCAAAAGGAACCCCACATGTCTCAGGATCAATAGAAACCAACCAACAAAATTTGACAAAGTATATTAAATTATCAATAAAGTCAGTAAATATTTTCCACTGCAGAGATAGATGCCACCAGCTTATGAATTTTTCTAGTACAGATTTAGTGAAGAAAAAAACAGTGTTTACTGCCAAATCAGTCATGAGTTGTTCTATTCCACTGCCAGTATGCTGTGGGTATAAACACCATATTCTTCATAGTCTTATCCACAAAAAATCCCACTTTAAAATTAAGTCTGGTTTTGAGTTTGACCAAAATAATGAAAATACTCTATTAAAACACAATGATGGCAGCAGGGTCAGTCTTTGCAATGAAAATCTAAGATTTAACAGTATATTTCTGATCAGATCTCCGGGGCTGAGTATACATGGTTATTGTGGTGGCTTGGCCTTTGCTGGCAGGCAAACTTCCACCCAGACACTGGCTCATTTCCTCTACTCAGGAGGAAAGGGAGAAAACAAGAAAAGCAGAAACAAGAAAGCTGCCTCAAAAATAGGGAGGTCACTGATGAAACCTGCAAAATCTTATTTATCACCATTTGAAATGAATATTTAATTATATTAGTATTTATTATTATTAGATAGAGACAGCCAACCTGACTCAAACCACTAAGCCAGTCATCTTGTTTTGGTAGTGAGACTGGAGGATGACAAAAAATATGACATTCCTCTGACATAAATGTCTTCACACCAATTTTAAAAAAACAATATGTTTTTCTGTATTTCTTTAAGAAATAGCTAATGAAAAGTCATTTCTTTATTCTAAAAATTATTCTGTTACAAGGAGCAATTTAGTTAATGCTCTTCTAATTTACAAAAGGCACTAAAGTACTCCAAGTTTTCTTTATACTGAAATTCTTCATGAGATTGGAAACTCCTCAAGATGGGGTCCTGTAATGTGGTAGGAAGAGTGTTAATAGACAACCAAAATATTACTAAAGACTAACTATATTCCATTTATATATTACATTTTGGAATGTATACATTTCTTCAGCACACATATCACTGAAATTAAGCTAATTAATTAACGATAAATGATCTGAAAAAGGATGGAAAGCTGGTAAAGTATGCTGTTAATACCAAGTTATGAGAGTAAAGATAGAACTGACTGAGGGAATGTGCTTACAACCTCACAATGCTGAGTTCATAGGCAGGTGAAATGTACTGTAGATAACTGTAATGTAAACACAGAAAAAAAAATCCTAATCTTACCTATAAAATTATCTAGTGGATGTAGATGTTAACAATCAGAACACAAAGTCTGGGATCTATATACTTAACATTGTGAAAACAGTGTTCAATGTTCAGCAGAACCACTTTCAACAGAACCACTTTCAACAATGCTCAGTTTATCTGCCGTCTCACTTCCCTAGCAAAGCAAAACAAATGAGAGACAGGAATTACAAGGAAAAACCCCATTATTTGGACTGTGTTTCTGTCTTGAATACTGGGTGTAACTCCTGATCTTCTCTACTCCAAAAGCATATAGTAGTGCTCAAAAAAAGAAAAAACCCAGTAACATGAAAATAATCTGAAAAAAAAATATGTTCAAACTCTTCAGTTTAGAAAATAAATGCAAGACTGAGGAAAGATGTAATATCATGAATTGAAGAGACATGGTGACTAGAGAGCAACTGTTCATTGTTTCTATCAAAATGAGAAGAATATCAATTAAGACAAATAGGAAACTTTAAAAAAAAACTTATTTCACATTTGTGTAGTCATGCTGCATTGAGTAATGACCTTCTCTTGTACTACTCTGCCAATGCTAAAAAAACCTATGTGGACTTAAAAAAAAAAACTGGGCAAATTTTTGGATTAAAAACCCACTAAGAACTGTCAAGAATAAGACACCACTTCTGATCCAGGAAGTGTTGAAGCCACAGATGGTTGCATCCTTGGCATTTAGGGATCATGTGATGTCCTATCTCTGTGCCCTTCCTCAGGCACTTCCTAGTTCCACTGCTACAAGTATCCCCAAATGTGTTTTAAAGAAGATTACACCAGCGAATTATTTCTGGAATGCATTTATTTATAGCTGAATTCAAGATAATTAAAAAATAAATAAAGAATATGCATAAAAGCAAGGTATTTCTCAGCCTTAAGAGCATTTACAGGTATACTTGATTGTGGTCCAATTGATATCACTAGCATATAAACACAAGAAAATGTAAGAATATAATCCCAAAGGAACTACACATTTTCCTTTTTCTAAAACTTTTTAGAACCAGTATGATGGCACAGAACCTTTGTTAAGTGTACCAAGCCAGGAGAGAATTTTTTTCTTGTTTTTGGAAAAAGAGTGTAATTTCTAAGAGAGGAAGATGCATTATGGTATCAAAATTCCACCAGATTGATCTGCCTTTTAAAAAAATAAGTCATTACCTACTTCCCTCCCACGTACAGGAGTTACTCGATTTGCCATTGCATGCTGCATTTTGTGTCAGGAATCACGCTTGATGATTTCTGTTCACGGCCAGGCCCGTGTCCTGTGGCAGCACTTCCTGCCACCCCACAGCTTCCAAACCAGCTGCAACTCGGGGGCTGCTCAAAGGGAGGCAATCACATGCAATGGGACCAAATAATTTCAACAGTTCCTTGTTTCAGTAAAAAAAGGGAAAAAGTGCAGCCACTGCCTTACCCGAACTGTTTTCTGAACCAGTGTAAGTAAAGCAGTACAACATTATGTGGAAACATGGCTCAAAGGACCTTTGTTCTAAGTAACAAGGTAAACACGCACAATTATAATAAATTTCAGAAGTGCTTAGCAGTTACTTTTCCAGAAACAAACAAAGAGAATGAATGAGCAAAGGCATTACTCAAAATCCCATTAGCTGCCTATTTTCCTTCACAGCAGTCTAAACACTTCCACCGATCCTTTCCAAAATTATTGTTTTGATCCATTCCAAAGGTATTAGCTGTGCAAATAAACCTGGTCGTGCGACGCGGTCTGGTCTGTAACGTGGTTAACGAAGGCGGAAAAAAGAAATAAAAATAAAAAAGTAGATAATTAGTCTAATCCATACTTACTTCTCGGGTGCTAAAAAAAAAAATAAAAAAAAAAAGGGATAAAAAGGAAAAATTGATGCTCCTCAGAGGGAAAACACTTGGATACTCTGCGCGTGCTTTAGAGCCCGTAGGAACAACTTTTCCGCGGCATTTCGAAGCGAAATGACAGATAGAGCACAAAGCCGCTCCGGTTCAGCGCTCCTGCCCCTCCATCGCTTCCCCCCGCGTCCCTCGCTGCGGCTCGGCCCGAACCCCGCACGCTGCCCTGGGGGGGCGGCCGGGCAGACACACACGTACAGATTTGTATTTTGGGAGAAAGCTGGCGGGCAGCGCGGTTCCCGGCCCGGGGGAGGAGGGAAGGCGGGCGGGGAGGCGGGGGCTGTTCCCCGCCTCGCTCCCACCCCCGCAGGCTCCGCCGCTGCCGCCGCTGGGCGCTGGGAGGCGGCAGCGAGTGCCCTCCGCCGGAGCCGTTTGAGGAACGCGAGCGGGCGAGCCAGACTTTTACCTTTTCCTCTCTTTTTTCCCCGTCCTCACCCACCATGCCGCGGGCGCCGCTGCCCGCGGGGGACGAGCGGCGGCTCAGCCCGGCGCCCTTCTCTTGAGGGGATGCGGGAGGCGCGGCCGGGACACAGCTAGCGCGACCCGCGCCTCTCCGCCGCCCTCCCCCTGCCGCGTCCCCGACCACCATGAGGGAAGAGCGAGAAGCTGCGGCGGCGGCCGCCTCCCCCGGCGGGGCCGGCAGAGCCCCGCAGCCCTGCCCGCAGCCGGACGGCGGCGGGGCGGCCGCCCCCGCGGCGCTGCCCGGCGGCAGCAGCGCCGAGAGCCTGCGGAACGGATACGTGAAGAGCTGCGCGACCCCGCTGCGGCAGGACCCCCCGAAGAGCTTCCTCTCCCTGCTGCTCTTTCCTACCGCCTCCTCCTCCCGGGCTCGGCTCGCCCTGGGCGTCCTGGCCGCCGCTGTCCTCTCGCTCCTGGCCTTTCCCGGCCGGGGCAGCGCCCGGGAGCAGCGGGACGGGAGCAGCTGGCGGAGCCCGCGGCCGCTGCACGCCTTGCTGTGCCTGACCCGCTGCCTCAGCCCCCTCTTCAGCATCGCCTGTGCCTTCTTCTTCCTCACCTGCTACCTGCTCGGCGGCCGGCGCGGGGAGCACGGCGGCGGCACGACCCGCTGGTGGCTGCTGGCGCTGCCCCTGTGCTGCTTCTCGGGGGACTTCGTGGCGCTGCAGTGGCTGCTGCCCGCGGAAGGGCGTGAAGAGGAGCCGCAGATGTTCCTAGGAAGGCTCCTGACGGTGCTGGTCTCGGTGGCGGCGCTGACCGTGCCGCAGAGCTCCCTGAAGTTGCGCCGGAGCCTCCTCGTCCTGGTGTTGTGCAGCCTGGCGTGGCTGGTGTCGCTGAGCAGCCTCCAGGCGCTGCCCCCGGCGCTCGGGCCGCTGCTGGCCGGCACGGTCGGGGTGGCAGGCTGCCTCCTGGCACTCTGCGGCGGGGAGCACGGCATCTTCTCGGCACAGAGCCGAGGAGCGCACCACCAGCATCACCGCCACCCACGGCTCCCCAGCGTGGAGGAAAAAGTGCCTGTGATCAGACCCAGGAGGAGATCCAGCTGCGTGTCCCTAGGGGAAACTTCGGTCAGCTACTACGGCAGCTGCAAAATGTTTAGGAGACCCTCGTTGCCTTGCATTTCCAGAGAGCAGGTAGGTTTCTCCGAAACTTGCAGGAGAAACTTTCGGAGGAATGAGCGCCGCTCCATAAGCTTTTCCTCACCGCTGTGTGTGTCTGTGCTGGATGTCTGCTCGCTAACAAACTCCTGCTAGAGGAATGGAGGAGAATGTTAGTCCCTTAGCGGGTTTCTCAGCTCGGTTCTGCAGAATCGATACAACCCTCTCTTTCTGCGTGGGTGCTAAATCATAATAATGTGTTTGCTGTAGGACAGAAGGCTCGCTCGCTTTTTATGCAATCTCAATTATTAAACAGCAGTTCTTATTGATTAGAGCAAAACCTCAAACCAGTCAGTTTCAGCTATCGGTTACCTTGTTATTTTGTTTCTTTTCCGAAGCCCCCACCTCCTCCGCGTCTGGCAGCCTTTCCGGGCGAAAGAAACCACAGCTTTCTAAGCTGCTCGGCGCTTCTGGTTCTTCCCGCTTTCTATCGACAAAATCATTGTCTAGTGCTAAAGAAATACCAGGTTTTGAGGGATATTATTTATGGAATGTTGGCGTTGTTTGAGTGGCAGCTGTCCTTCTGCCCTGCAGATTGCTGTCGTTCGTTCCTCTCTCTCCCTTTCTCTCCCCCGCTGCTCCTCGCTCCAGCTAAGTTAACGTTAGTTTTGGGTTGATGGGTTTTAAGAAACTTTTTACTGAAGAGAGAGCTGTTCAGTAGGGGCTGGAGGGATGCCCGAAACGCTCAGTTTTCTTGAATGGAACTCTGTTGGTTTCTACCTCCCGGAAAACTTTTCAATGAGTCTTGTTTTTTTGTAGCGTAAAACCCCCGTGCGTGTGGGGGAGTTTGTTTTTATTTGGGCACTTGCACGTCAACTGCGGGAACATCGAGTTGTGTTGGAACCGGCCCGAGGCTGCTGCGAGTGGATTGTCAGCCCCTTGTAGCAGGGAGAATGAGGGGAGTGTATTTAATGAACGTGCAAGTGAGCAGTTTCTGCGAAGTGATTGTTGCTGCAGAATCCCCCGTCTGTTCCTGTCCTGGCTGAACCTCACCGGTGCCAAATGAAATTTTCTAATTTTTCCCTTGACGTTTGTTCTATAATGCAGGACTTGTGTGAATTAGGTCTGAGGAAATACGAGGTGAATCTGAAACGGTGGAGTAGTTTTCGAGCATTTCCCCCTCCCTGAGTTTGCACAACAGAATTAATACAGTAATTGTTTACAGCGATTAATACAGTAATTGTTTCTGCATAAAAGGTTAAAATGCAAGTATGCTGTGACGGTCTTCAAAAATAACTTCAAAAATAACAGTAAGTTGCAGATTATCTAATGCATACAATGAAAGAAACATTAAAATGTTTTACTAGCAGTTAAGATATATAGGAACTATCATATAATAATTTATTTTCTCTGTTCCCTTCTGGATAGTAAATGCTCTCTTTTGCTGTCACTTCGGTGTGTAGCACAGAAACCTCAGAAAATGTGATTTCATTAACCTTTCTAGATGATAGAAGATATTTGTTCATATGCAAGTTACTAAAAGCTTCCTTTGACATTCAGCTCACTTCTTTAAAGGCATGTGCATATTTCAAGTTAGGGCATTCATTATTCTTCAAGTAACATCATAAATGTCAGCTATAACTAAATATGTAGAATTTATTTGTAATGCTTAAATCATACATGCTCATAATAAAATGTAACTTTTTGGTAGACTTCCAGAAATTGATATCTTTGTTATCACTAGATGTGAACAACAAAGAGATATGGAGTTCATAATTTTCCTAATAATCTATTATGCTTTACAATAAATATTTGTGCTTTGTTAAGCACAGTTTAAATGAGATTCATAGATACATGTTCTCTGCTGTATTTTATATGCAATTTTACAAGGATAACACAGGTTAAATCCTCTGATCTCCTGTCTGACTTGGAGAAAGATCAGACATTGCAGAGCTGATAAAACATCAATTGTTTGGGCAGGAGTAGGGAGAAGTAAGCTCGTAATGTGTGACTTTATTTGAATAAACAGTAAAAGGTTTTTATATTGCTTCCTTGAAACTGAAGGAATGTGTGTACTTAATGCTTTTCAGAGAGCATCTGTTTTGTGGCTTTTCTTTAAGGGATGATTACACATTTTCCAAATCTTTATAAAGCAATGCAGTGTTTCTTTTCCAATATTAATATTTCAAGGAGTTTAATGAAGATTGTTAGGAAGGTGTTGCTAATCCACCATGACAGAAATACTTTGATGAACGAGAGATAAGCTATTATTGTGATTCTGTTAGATCTATTTTGTGTGATTGTCACAAACCTCTTATATGGAGAAGAAGTTTATGTAAAATACAGAATAGCAGGTCAGTAGGGTACCCCAAGGATCATCTGGTCCTACCTTTCTTGGCAAAATCACTGTCTAGACAAGTTGGCCCAGCGCCCTGTCCAGCTAAATCTTACTTGTCCAGTGTTGGGGAATCCATTGCCTCTCTGGGGAGATCATTCCAGTGGCTGATTGTTCACATCATTAAAAAAAAATTTAAAAATCTCATTTTGTGTAGATTTTAGTCATTATTTGATGAAAATAGAGAGTGTTAGTATTGACTTAAATTTTCAGTAACATGTTGATTTGAAGTTATATGTGCTCTCTGTCTACTTAAGTATACAAGAAAATAATTATATTTATTTGATTGTTTGGTTGGTTTTTTTTTTTGTTCAGCCAGCAATTCCAAGGGGTCTGTGAGCATGGAGATGAAATACTAACACAGAGGGGAATGTGCAACCAGCAGCACATGCACACATAAATTGGATGGAACTATCATTTTTTCCTGGGGTACAAGTGGAAAGAGGCCCTGTAAACATGATCCTGTAAAAGCTTGCAAATTTGAGTAAACCTCATGACAAAGATATTGCTTTCTGGACTTCAACAACTGTGGGAACTATAAGGCTGGAAGTTGATAAAATTAGATTATTCTTATTAGATTATTCTTACTTCAATATTCATCTCAGACCTAGAGAGGAGTTGCAGTAAGACTGAAGTATTGATTGGTTTTTCAAATTTTGTGCAGGTCTTATTTTGACTGCATGTATTAATTGGATGGTAATCTGTTAGCTCCACCTATTGCTGCTGATATCAAAGGATTTATCTTTATTGACTGTTGCACATTTAGCACTTAATTAGTGGGGGTTTTTCTGCCCAAAAGCCAAATCAGGGTATCTAAAAGGTGCTTGTCAGTATTGCAGACCTTGTAAACACTGTCCTAAAAAATATACTAGTAAGACTTGTTTTTTCTTTAACTTGATAGTTGACATATATATGACAGCTATGTGTATGAAATCTTACATAGGAGCTTCTCAGATCCAGAAAGAATATTCATATTTTTCCTTCAGTAAAGAATAGGCCTTCCTAATTAAAGACACATGATACGTGTCCCAAACAGTCTGCAAACAGAGCTGATACACACTTTTCTGGTTATCTGACTAGATTCAAACACGTAGGAAAGCTGGGATATTTCGTGGACAAAGACTGCTTTCATGTTGCACTCTGTTAATTACAGGAAGAATTGTCTTGTGGTTAGGGTTCGATTGACCACCACCTCTCCCCAGTTTCTGTTCCAAGCTATCTCGTACCTTTGATGTATAACCTTAGAAAAGTGAGGACTTGATTTCAGGAGTCTGAAGTATTTGTGTAACTTGAAATTAATGCAGTTCCTTATTTGCTCATGAAATTTACATCTATGTCTGTTACCGATTTGTGAAACAAATTACACTTTGTCCTAAAGTTTTCAGGGTATAACTTCCTAGTGCAGAAACTGTCTGTTAATGTGTATTTTAGAGTGTCTTAAATTTGTTACACTCAGATACTGTTTGCAGCCCAGAAACAGGTGAACCTGTACCTGTTGAGTGCAGCCAGTAACAAAACATAATTCTGCTTGCTGTGTGTTTGACAAAACAGCTCTTTGCTATTTGAAGTTTTCCCTTCACGACTCCAAGCTGTTACCACAGCTGTACCTGCATGGCAAGATGTGTTTCTGTTGCTCACCCAATCTTCCTGTCTCTGGGGTCTGTCTTATGGGGAAAAAATCAAGGTAGCAGTGTGTGTTGAGCTGTGGGTGGAATCAATTCCAATGGGATGCAGCTGAGTGCAAGGAATGTGCAAAGAGAAGGATTATATGATGAAAGCAACACAGTTGGAAAACTGTTTCTGCAACCATATTTTGGATGAGCAGGATTCTATTGTTTTGTCTGGTTCTCTCTGACATTGACAAAATAGTTTGAGCTACATGAAATGTGAAATGAGAAGGCTCTTGGTAAAAGTTCCATATCTCGCCTTCCCTCTCGCCTTCCCTCTCGCCTTCCCTCTCGCCTTCCCTCTCGCCTTCCCTCTCGCCTTCCCTCTCGCCTTCCCTCTCGCCTTCCCTCTCGCCTTCTTTCCCCCCTTCTCCCTCTCCCCTCTTTCTTTCTCTCTTGTAGGATTATAGCCCAAAGAAAGGATGATTGAATCATGGTTTGTCAGAGTTTAAGATGTTATCCTCTGGCAAAGCTTCACCTGGGACTGGCTGAGAATAGCAGAGAAGGATTTTAGGGAGACTGAGTGCACTTAAGAACACTCTTAGCTAAATTTACCTTAATCTGGCTTTTAGAAACCCAAAACTTGGTGGCAGTTTATGTTTATATTCTGCATAAGTAAAAGCAGGCAGGAGTCCCTGAGCTGTCCGTGTAGCAAAGGAGGTTGACTGTTGCTTCAGGTGTGTTTTCCTGGAAAGAAAACAAGTAGAGAAAGGAAGGAGATCAAAGACCACTGCTGTGGAAATGCTGGAGAAATTGGTTGGAAGGTGAGGGAAGCATGTTACAGAGCACCAGTAGGAAAGAAATGAAAGAAACTGTGAAAGGAGGTTCCAACAACTGCATGATTGACTGTGTTGAAGAAAAATAGCAGAATAAACTGCATAAAGTATTAATATTCAGCTTGGCCCTGGGAGATGTTTTAAATTTATGAAAGAAACTACTAGAGATGAGAAACAAAAGGTGCACAGGAAGGTCTC